GTCTTTATGAGTTAAATGTGTTTCTTGTATACAGCATATTGTTGGATTTTGTTTCCTAATCCACTGTGCCAGTCTATTTCTCTTAATTAGTGAATTGAGTCCATTTATATTGATGGTTAGAATTGAGATGTATTGACTTAAGTTTGCCATGTTATTTACCTGTTGTCCTTTACTCCTTTTTCTCCTGTGTTTAATTGCTTGCCCTATTTAGTTGGTCGCTTCTGATCTCATTTGTGGAGTTCTGATCATTTTTGTCCCTGTCTAGAACATCTTTCAGTAGCCTGTATAGAGTTAGCTTTGTCATCACGAAATTCTTTAGCTGTTCTTTGTCATGAAAGTATTTCACTTCTCCATCAAACTTGAAAGACAATTTTGCAGGGTATAGTAGTCTGGGCTGGAATTTGTTTTCATAGAGTACTTGAAGTACTCTGCTCCATGCTTTTCTTGCCTTCGTGGTTTGTGAAGAAAAGTCAGCCGTAATTCTGATGGGTTTTCCTTTGAATGTGATCTGCTTCTTTTTTCTAGCGGCTTTCTGTAGATTATTCTTGTGCTGAATTTCTGGGATCTTGACTATTATATGTGTCGGTGTGCTTTTTATTGGATTGAAGTTACTTGGTGTTCTGTATGCTTCGGTTAGCTGAATGTCAGACTGTTTCCTCATATTTGGGAAGTTTTCTGCTATTATTTCTGCCCATATTTTTTTAACGTCGTTTGTATTGTCTCCTTCTTTCTCATTGACGTCTATCAGTCTCACATTGTTCATCTTTGCATCATCTTTCAGGTGATGGATTATTGTTTCCTGCATCCTCATTGTTTTTAAGAGATCCTTTATTACCTTTTCACTAGTTGCACCATCATCTTCAAGATGTGAAACTCTGTCTTCACATTCACTTAAACAGTTTTGCAAGCTTGTGATTGAGATTTAAAGTTCCTCTATATCTCTTTGACTCTGCTTCATGCGATCTATTTCTTTCCTGTATTGCTCATTCAAGGAATCCGTCATTTTTCTAATCTCCTCTATTTTTTATCAATGTCTTCTTTACAAGCAGTTATAAATTCTTTTATTGCAGTGTTTTTTTCAGATTGGGTTTCCTCCCTATGTGTCTATAGTTGCTTCTTTACTTCAGATGCTATGAGTTCTGAGAATTCTTTTTTTATTTCAGAAAAGAATTGCGCATGAGTTCCTCTATAACTTTCTGCTGCTGCTTATTTACTATCAACGCTCTTGATTCATGCATTTGAGCCGAGCTAGTGTCCTCTGCATTTGTTCTGGGTGGGCACTGGGTGTCCTCCATCTGTTTTTGCATTTGATTGTTTACTGCAGATGTTATTAATTCAGGGATTTCTTTTTTTTATTTCCAATCTGAGTTCCTCTATACCTTTCTGCAGTTGTTTCTTTATTTCAGAAGCCATTGATTCATTGCTTTCAGCTGTGTGATTCCCAATTTGTTCTGTTAGTGTCCTCTGCACTTGTTGCAGGTGGGCTTGGGTTCTGAGGTTGCATTTTGTTCCTTCTTGTCATTTTGTATAGCACTGTCTTCTGACCTTTGTTGTAGATCTTTGTTGCAGTTATAACCTTAGCACGTACTGAAATTCAGGTGCAGATCTACAAAGTTTGGATTTATCCAGCTGTTCATGGCTTGGGTCTGGCTGTTGTGCTCAGCTCCTTCCTGCTGCTGCCCTTGAGGGTGAACCTGTTGTGCCCCTGTGGCAAGATGTTCTGCTCCTGTGCTAGCTGGGTGGGTCTATCCTCTACACTCTCTGCAGGGATTGCAGCTGCAGGGTTTCACCCCAGTCTTGTATGCCAGGCCTGAGCTGAGCCTGGAGGGGACAAGATGGAGTAGGTGGGAGAGGCAGCTCTTCCACACACTCACTTGGTCTTGGCTAGGACTGGGTCTGGGGGTTCCTGGAACGCGGCAGAAATTTCCACTAGGCAGGCGAGATGGGGAAGGTGCTGCAGATTGGTGGGCGGTATCCCAAGGGGGTGGAAGAGGGTCTCACCCACTCTTCACCTGGGCTGGGACCAGTAGTAGGTCCCGCCGGCACAGGGTAGCAGGAAGGTCTCCCACACACTTACCAGACCTGGACTAGGACTGGGTCTGGGGGTTCCCGGAAAGCTGCAGAAATTCCTACTCAGTGCACGGAATGGGGGAGGTGCTGCGGAGTGGTGGAGGGCCTCCCAAGGGGCTGGAAGTCGGTCTCACCCACGCTATGCCTGGGCTGAGACCAGTAGTTGGTCCCGCCCACTCAGGGAAGCTGGAAGCTCTCCCACACACTCACCGGATCTGGGCTAGGACTGAGTCTCTGATAAACTTTATGCTACATGTACTTATATTACAATTTAAAATAAACTTCATCAAGAAGTAAAAAGCAACTCAGAATCTGGGGTGTGAATGTACCGTGAGCTTTATTGTTATCTGGCCTCCTGTTGCTACAGTGGCCCATCAAGATACAAGGTGGCTCAGAATGCGAAATCCCAAGTCTTCGTAAAGTTGCCTGCTCCAAGACAGGTGCAGAAGTTCAATGATATTCTGACTCCATTTAGGAGTTTACAATCTACGTGGCAAATAAGAAGGGAAATAACAATTCAAAAGCTATTCCAATATAGTAGCCTCCTGGCGGGGGTGACCAAAGCCATGAATGTTAGGAAGGCAACACAGGCTGGGATGAGTAGGAGCAGGCAACGAAGGTTACAAATTGAAAAGGAATTGGATTTCAGATCCAAGACAGCAGGAGAAAAATGGTCCCAGCAGAGGAAAAGAGAGTGGGCACAGGCTTGAAGACAAAGACACCTAGAAATCCCCGAGATGCACTGACGGCAGGCTGGTCTGGCTAGAATTAAAGATGTGAAAAGACAAAGCCTCAGATATGAGGCTGGAGAGGTGTCTGAGACTCAGGTGTGAAACTTGAGATGACATACAAGGAGACTGGAGGAAAGAGAGCCTCTAAACATCTTTGGCGAGAAGTAAATAAGAATCCACTGGAAACTGTGGCTATTGGAAAAACAGAAAGCATAATATTTTGAGAGCACCAGGCAGGGTCATTTCAGCCGTTTTTCTTTTAAAAATAGGCACCCTTTCTTCCAATACAAGCCCCGCCTTTTGCTCCAGCGCCCGTGTTGCCCTGGTCTCCACATCCACCTAGACCTTGGGGCTCTGGAAACGCGTCACCAGATCCACAGCCAGCACCACTCTCTTGCCCCTGGTTGTAATTGCATGGGCCACAGTTGGAACCCTCTGTGTCGAGGCAGCGTGGACTGGACTCATGACAGCCCGCATTTGGTGGGAATGAAATTGGGTTTGGGTTTAGGCAGGGGCTCGGACAGCCAATAGGCTCCCCACATGGTTCTGGGCTTGAGCACGGAGCTGGCAGGGGAATTGGCTCTGCATACTCCCTGGGCTGCGGGCATGGATGCGGGTTCTCACATTGCAGTCGGCGAGGTCTTGGAGCTGGGCACGGAACTGCACGGGGAGCTGGTTCCGGATACAAACAAGGTTCTGAAAATTGCCGCGGAGGAGGACGTGGGCGGGGCTCCGGACTTCTGCACAGTTCCGGGCTTCTGCACGGTTCCGGGCGTGGACACAGACGCGGAGGAGGAAGAGAGCATCGTGGTGGGGATAGCTGTGGACAACGACCTCCGCGCTGTGGCGAACAGGACCGTGGGAGGGGGCGTGGCTCTACACGTGGCCTCGGCTCCGGGCTGCAGCGACCCCAGGACGGTGGTGGGCCGCAGCTCCGGGAGCGCCCTCTGATGGGGGGAATCTGGACAGGGCATCTCTGTGGTGGAACCTGCCTGGGACAGCAAGGGGAGGAAATCTCTATCCGGCACTTGGGTCCGCATCTCTGGGAGCAGCCTGCACTGGGACGCGGAGCACTGTGGCTGTGGTAGATAGGCTCGGAGCGGCGGGGCGGGGTGCAGTAATTGTAGGAGCCAGAACCCCTTGATGGCTGGCAGCTGCTGTAGCAGGGCTCATATCGGCGTGGCGGGGAACAACTGCGGTAAGGAGGTTCCAGCCGGCGAGACGGGAGGCATCTGCTGGTGCTCTGAGATCGACGCTGCCCACTGAAACTCCCATAGGAACCCTGGGCCTGGCACTGGGGTGCACAAGTGCCAAATGAAGCCCGAGACTGGCGCTGGGGGGCGCAGCCGCTGTAGGAGGCCCCTGAGTTGAACTGGGGGGCACAGCTGCTGTAGGAAGCCCGGGACTGGCGCTGGGAGGCGCAGCCGCTGTAGGAGGCCCCCGAATAGAACTGGGGAGCGCAGCTGCTGTAGGCAGCCCGGGACTGGCTCTGGGCAGTGCAGCCGCTGTAGGAGACCCCTGAGTTGAACTGGGGGACACAGCTGCTGTAGGAAGCCTGTGACTGGCGCTGTGGGGCGTAGCCGGTGAAGGAACCTTGGTACTGGCACTGTGTCGAGAAGCTTCCCTGAGTCTGGGACATTGGGGAACATTCCACATAAGTAGTGACAGGTTGAGGAGCTAGAACTGGGACATAGGTCTGGACCGGATATTTCACGTAACACGTTTCTGTGTAGCGAACTGGAGCACTTTCTACAAAGACAGTCCCAGGGTATGGGACTTCGTACTGCACGTAGGAAACCCCAGGCTGGCATGGAGCCTGGCTCTGAACACAGGAAACTTGAGTCTGGCAGGGAGCCTGGCACTCTACCTGGGTGGTCTTGGACTGGCCAGTGGCCTGGCCCTTCACCTGGGTGGTTTTAGTCTTACTGGAAGCCTGGCCTTTCACCAGAGTGATCTTAGACTTGCTGGGAGCCTGGCACTCCACCTGGGTGGTCTGAGACTGGCAAGGAGTCTGGGAAACTTGGACTTGGCATGGTACAGGGCATTCCAGAATTTGCATCCCACAAGGGGCTGGGGCTACCACCTGGCTGTTGGCACCGGGGAACTGGGAGGGACCGAAGGAGGAACCCTTGACGCAGCACTGGGGGAGCGGCAGGCAGTACTGAATTTGCTGCTGGTCACACATGGTCCTGATGCAGGCTGGAGAGTCGGACCTGAAGGTAGAGAGAGGGGTCGACAGGGTGAGTGTCTCGGAGGAAGAACCAGCAACTAGAACAAGATGCCTTGTGTCTTCCCAGAGCTTTCTTTCTCCTCCTCATTCTTCACCCATGAATCTTTACTGACAGCTGGATCATAGATCGGTTGGGCGTTATGGTTCACGAGACCTGCGTGGTAGTGCACAACCAGGACTAGATGGATTTACAATCTCCCGGAGCGTGGAATTACCGGTGAGAAGCACCAGAGGGCGCTAGCGACAAGTCTATCCAGTACTCCCTCCTCACAGTCCTGTCACAGAACGAATCCTCCCTGCAGGGAGTGTCTGTGCTTCAGCCCACAAGGAGGACCTGACATGCACGGGAGCTAGGACTTTCCTCGTGCTCGCATACTGGCAGCATATTTGTGTGCGCACACATGTAAAACGAACGCATGGGAACAAGTGCTAGGCATCCTGTGCTCAAGTAATGTCGAAGAATTCACTGGACAGTAAGGAATCCAGTCAGTTGCTGGGCAGCTCGAATCCAGCATTGAAGATTTGCTTCTCCATAGTTAACCTTTTCTGTGCGAATCCACCTAAAGAGGCCCTTATCTATACAAAGGCACACACGTACAAGTCGTACCAGCCTTGAGTAGACTAGGGATTAACATGGCCACCTACTCAGACAAGTCCATGCTATAAATCACCAGGAATATGATAATCAGCTGGCTTCTTACTCCCTTACTCCTCTGAGAGGCAGGACAGACATAGAATTGCCTAAAGTGGAGGAACTCAAGAAGTACAGAAAGCACGAGGTCTTTTGTCTTTCTTTTCTTCTTTCTTTTTTATTCCTTTTTTTTTTTTTTCTTTGCAACAAAGTCTTGCTATGTAATTATATAGCCCAGACTGGTCTCGAACTCACAATCCCTGAGTGTTGGGATGATAGGCATGCACTACCACACCTGATTAAAGCACAAGATTCTTAATCACAGGACTGACGTGAGTCACTCTTAAAGGTCTACCCAGCCGGAGCATTACAAACAGAGGACCTGAGGCAGACGTGCGCCCTAGAGCCAGCCTTAGCCAGGCAGAAGGCAGAAGGCAGGGCAGCACCTACTCCTCTGCTCTCCCCAGATCCACCTGCTGGTATTCAAGCAGCCCAGGGAGGAGGGCACAGCAGGGAGCTGACTGACAGCTCTCACCCAACAAAACGCCTCTCGGAAGTTCCCCACTGTGAATTCTTGTAACAAAAGGCAGAGCCACATGACTTCCATTTGTCTACATACACATGTCCTTGAGAAGGCGGCCCTTCCTCACATAACACCACTCACAGCTATAAATCACTCCTGTGTCTTTTCCAAGGGGAGAACGTCCTGATGAGAGAAAATGGCTCCTGAGGGTGAAGCCAGGGTTCTCAAAGGCAAACGCACTGACTCCACAACCCTCTCTCTTCTCATGAACTCTACAGATTTTCTTCTTAGATCCCCCAAAGTCATCAGAGGTCCTTCAAAGGCTGGGTGCAGTTCCTCTGTACCCAGCTTCCTCCTCCACTACCCTGAGTCTGCTGAGCATCGCCCCCACCCCAATCCCAGGCCACGGCTTCTGTACTCACCCTCCTAAGCAGGCACGAAGTCATTCAGGCTGAGGCCCTGGGCAGAAGGCTGCCTTTATATAAAGTATTCTGGGTCTGGCTTAGCCATGAGACAGCTGGTTGGCATCTGCTTGGCTCATCACCCACACCGGCATTCCAAAGGCTGGTTCCCTCCCTGTGTACCTGCTGTCCTTGCTGTCACCTACAGAGTTGGGAGCGTCTGCCTCAGAGTCAAAGTTGCCAGACTATGAGGGACCAGATGACTTTTTTCCCTCCTTCACCCCTTCAGTCTCCTGTCTTTCTCTGATCTGGGGGTGAGGCTCATAAGAGTTGGCAAAAGTATCTTCTCTCCTGAAGGATGACTCTATCCCCTATCTCCGTCTTTGTCTCAGAATCTCACCAAGGAGGGGTAAAAAAGGAAGTGTTCCTTAACTTAGTAGGCTAAAAATTCCCTCCACGATAGAAACAGTTTATGGAATGAAGAGTGTGGAGCCAGAGCTCAGTTTAATGGCCCAGGTTGGCTACTCACACACGTGTGACCTTTCTAACCAATCTGAGATACATTTACTCTCCTGGAATACATGTAATTGAATGTGTTTTTCTGATTATTATGAAAATTAAGGCAATTATTTTATACAGAATCATCTAGCCAAGAATGATACACAACATCCACTCGGAGTAACTGCTGACCACGAACAAGAGACACGGCTGCCTCAGCAGGCCTCCGCTATCCCCACTCCTAAGCTGATCAACGTCAAGCATTCACTAAGGTGGCAGAACAGCCCGGAGGCAGCACAGGTCAGCTCACTCTGTACAGAGGGCTTTGGAGTCAGATGCAATAAAGAACAGATGCAATAAACTGACACCATGTGAGCCAGGCATGGAGGATATGGAGGTGTTCTGTTGGCAGAACATTGTATTAATTGTGAACGTTTAGAAGCATAGAGATTTTACTTTAGATTCCAGACATCCTGCTTTTCATCTAAAATCCGAAGCACTGGCATAGGTGAGCCAGACTTCGATCAATCCAGTTGGGAACTGCCATCCCTGGAGAGATCATTTCACTTTTCATTTCGTTTCATTCAGTGGATGAGAGATGCATACACTATTTCATTCTATGTGATTCAAAACTGCAAGTTTCGTTGTATTATTTTACTTGCACTCTTACTTTGCTTCAATGAAGTTGAAGATAAAGGTTTTATTGATAAGTTTTAAATAATAATTATAGCTTATTAGTAGCTATTTGTAGTAGCACATGACGTCTATATTCATCTTAGGGAGTAGGTGCTTGTATCTAACATTTTAATTCTTTTTATTTCCCTTCCTCTCTTACCCTCTTCCTTCCTGCCCTTATATTCTTCTTTTCTTTTATCAGTAGCAGCACATAATGATTATATTTCCCGTGGGTCACTGGTATGTAATGACACACCTTAAATCCACTTAAAGGATAAATGAATAATTATAGTTTTCAATAATCCGGTTGGATCATTTCACTTATTTGTCTCCCTCTGGCCATTGTAAGGATTTAGATTCTGACCAAGCTCCTGAGCAAATTTTAGATTTAGACAAATTTTGGGCTCTGGTACTTACTAATAGGGTGAAATCAGCATGTACCCCTGATTCGTTATAAAGGGAAAGAAGGGAAAGAAGGGGCAATGGTGGTAAAGAGGGGAAAAGGATGGGATTATAAAGTTGCAGAAGTTAGACTCAGCGTGGTGGTGTGTACCTATATCCTCAGTGCTTGGGAGGCTAAAAACAGGAGGATCACTATGAGTCTGATCTGTGTAGTGAGACCCTGTAGACCCTGTACCAAATACGTAAAAGAGAAAGTTATACAAATATTGTGTGATAAATAATAATAATAAAACTTCTATAACCACTTAGCACTTAGCCATTCATCTCTCCAGGTTTCAGTGTCCTCTTCTGAAGCAGGAAGTGATGATACTGCAGGATCTTCATGACAATCAAATCAGATAATGGGCATGAAAATGTGTATGACCTACAGGGCACACGCCCATCGTGTCTGTGAAGGCTCTCTCCTGGGAAGCTTGCCCAGTCCAACTTGACACCACAATCCTCACTCGATTTCCCACCATTCATTCAAAACAGATCTTCAAATATCATTCCAGTCCTGAGTAGGGTCCTAGACTTTCAGAGTATCACAGCAAGAACCCCAAGAAATTTCCTGGCCCTGTCATTCTGTAGGATGCTACATCCCAGACAAGCAAACTTTTCTAGGAACTTCAAGCTAATAATGGACGTCTTGGAGGGACTAAATGCAAGGTCACCCTACCTAGGTCAGCTCTCTCCACTTCAGGTCTTTTCTTGGATCACAAACACCAACCAAGCTGTCTCTGATCAAACACCTTGGCCAAAGTGCTCTGAAGCTGGACAGCTGAGGCTTGATGTTCCCCAAGAAGGTTGTCTGAAAAACAGTGAGCTGAGAATACCAAGAATATAGACCAACTGGCACCCAGCTTGTGAATATTGAATCCTAGTTGGTGTGTTTCCTCTGCTAATTTTTGGATCAACCATGTACTTCTAGGGGAAATAGCTGTCCTATTCTTTGACTCTCTGTATGCTGACATGGTCTTAGTCTGTTGATGGATGACTGAGAGATAAAGAGAAGGATGAGAATGGAATCAAACATTATTTATTTGGCAGTGTCTTCAAATTAAGTGGTTCCCTTACATAGCTGCAATGTGAGCTTCTAATTTCTGTGAGCCTCTGTATGATTTTAGATTTTACCTTTTGGCTCAACTAACTGAATGTGGACAAAAGTAAGTCATTATCTCCCTCCAGGAAATCTCCTTGGAGTCCCACAGTCACAGTGTAGGAGGCAGTCTTCTTCCTGCTGACCCCAACACACAGCCCATGCACACTTTTCATTCTCTTCCATGGTTTCCCCCAAATACCCCTCTAGTGTCCATCACATTGTTGCTGGTGCATCCCAGGCCTTCACAGTCTCCCACATGCTACAACTGTCTCCCCAGTGGTTTTGTTTCCACCATTTCTTCCATTGAACTTCCAAGTAACCACAAGAGCAATCTACCTCGTCAAATAAAATAATATAAACAAAGCTAATTTCACTGTTCTTTCACTTTGCATTTTGCACTGGAAAACATTCAAACTTCTTAGCTAGGTGTACAAGTTCCTCCATAAGCAGGCTCCATCCTGTGCTTTCTGGCTTACGTCCTGCTTGTCCTTGCTCTATCTCCAAATCCTCACTCATTTACTCCTCCCCTCCCAGCATCAGATGAAGCTGTGCAGAGTGGTTTCCGTTCTCTACTTGGGCCTTGGTATTTATGATGGCAGATGCTGTCACCTCCTGCTAGAATGCTCTTTCCTCTCCTCACACAACCTATTGCTCATTGTTTGAGACAATCCCAACATCACATTC